AAGAACGAAAGAGAAGAACGTTCTCGAGTGGGCTGATTAATGGTAAAAACCTCTCTCCGCGCGTATATAATAATATTATGTACCTACGTACATATATAATACGCCAACATTAAAAATCTGTCAGGTAATTTGTGCCACGCACGCGGTTAAAAAAGGGACGAAAGTTAAAAAGAGAGAAAACTCGTATATATTATATTACATACATATAGTACCTACCCACGCACGAGCTAATACTATATCGCAATTTGTTTGGCATTTTTTCCCACTGTTACTTTTTCCAAATACGTGCTACCCGAACATCGGTATATTTTTATACCGATTATAAAATAGATATAATAGATAATAATATTGTACCGTATGCTTAAATACGCCATACGGGTTAGATTTTGTGTTACAATAATTTCGCTGCGCGCACCATTCTGTATATTATATACTTATAGGTACTTACTACATGTCACTCGCTTTCCCTTAAACTCAACGCGTAATAAGAATCGAACCGTATACATTCATGTATTATTCCTGTATTATTCAAATTCAAATTTTGAGCGAAAAATAGCGAGAAACCTATCGAAGCCTGGTACCAATAAAAAACTTCCGGACTTCGGAAAGTTGATTGAAAATATGAATGCATTAGTGGTGAACTAGTTCGTAAGTATTCAATATGGAACCAATAACTATAGGTTCATGAAACAGTTCATCATAAGTATACAATCGAACTACAAGTTCGCATGAATTTTTAAATTTTTACTTGGACTTACTTAATTCGAGAATTTCGAATTTAATTGGCACATAAGCCGTTTTTGAAATTCCTTGTATTTCTCTAAATAACTAAAGAAAAATTTTCTTTTTAAAAACGATTTGTTCGGGGTAATTTATTAAAGAACAATCGTACAATTTCCAAAATTTCTGAAGCTCTTTTTGCGATATTTGTAACTATTGAAATTATCGGGTTTTTTTTTTTTATGTTTGTTTGTTTATTCACACAATATTTTCGGCCGCGAATTTAAATATTCGCAAATTGAATTACAAAAGAGTGCGATCGTGAGTCGTTTTAAAAGTTGAGCGTAGTTATTAGAACGTTTTTTTTTTTTTTTGTTTTTTAGCATTTTAAATTTAAAATATTTATCTTTTAACGATTGTGAAGTTTGCCCCCCGATTTTAACCTATCGACCCCGAACCAAATCCAAAATTTAGTAACCTTTCAGTAACTAATTGTAACTGACATCAAACAATTTTTAACCTGATAAAAATATTAATATTCATTTCAAATTGAAATAAATTAAATTGGAGGATATGACGAATCACCATAGAATTATCAAACCAGCTTTTTCTTTAAGGTAAATATTATTTGTGTCAGGTAAAATAAAAATCTTGTGAGTCAGTTGCAAATGATAAATATATAAATAAATGCGTTGCCTGGAGTATTATGAAATGTGTAGTGTCCGACCGGTTTCGAATTGGAAATTCATCGTCAGGTAAAATCACGAAGTCAAAGGGTAGAATGCGACTGAATATGAAAAAATAAATGAAAGAATACACGGTGAATAAATTATAAAAATTGGTCGTTTTGTGTAGAAATAATTTATTTAAATAGGAAAGATTATTTAAATTAAGCTATTATTGGACATAGATATGCTAAGAAGTATAAATTAATAAGTTATTATTTATTATCTAAAATGTATTGATATACGATATTATTTTTAAAATCGGTTCGAACATTTAAAATATTACTAAAATTATTTTTCTTTATTTCACTGTGTATGTGTAATTCTTCCAAATCCGAATTAATGTAAATGCTATTTCGGGTATTTGATATTTCTAAATCTGTATTAATATCAAAATTTATATTATGGTTATTTACTAAAACATGTTTAGCGAAATTCGAATTAAAGGCAGTCATTTTTAATTTTATTTCAGATATGTGTTCTTTATATCTTATTTTAAAATTTATATTTGTCTTACAATTTATTACAGTTACATTTAAGTTTATATATACCAGCATTTTCAAAAGAAGGGGGATTTTTTGTAGAGTATTTAGTTCTTTTGTTTACATGTTTGATTAAATTATTATTGGCTTTAAAAGTGCTTTTGCATTATTTATATTATTGTTTAAAATTTTAGCGAATTTGTTAGATAAATTATTTTGATGTTTCATACTACAATAGTCAAAAACATTATTTGGCGAGTTGTGTTTTACTTCTTCTTTAATACGTTTATGCATTTTTTAAATAATAGTATTTAAATTGAAATTATTTCTATGGGATATATTATAGATAATATTGTGCTCATGTTGATAATTATGATTAATTAATAGAATACGTTCAAATTTACAAAATATTGAATTTAAAGAAAAATGATATTTTTTTAGAATAAGGGTGATTAGAATCATGTGGTATTATAGAAGTATTATAGTATTATAGTTTGTGTAGGTTTCCTGTAAATACTAAAATCAAATTTATTTTTTATTATGGAAACTGTAAAATTTGAAAAATTGTATTTATTATTTATTTGTATTTCAAGTGTAAATCGAATGTTTTTATTTATTTTGTTCAAGTAGTTACATAGGTACTTTAAAACACATTTCAATAATTAGAGTTTATCCATCATAGAAAATTTAAAGTATTAATACTTATATTTTCAAATCGTTGTATACAAAACATTTTCAAACAAGTTAATTTTTGAAAATATATAAATAAGTTCGACTTGTTCGATTTGTTGGACACTGTTGGAAAACTTTCAAATATTGTTGGACATCATTTTTACTGGCAGTGTTAGACACTATCTATTATTTTTAGACAGCATTTATATACTACTGCATATTTTTTTATAATACAAGTTACAAATCATAATGCTTAATATATTAATGTATACTATCGTTATGAATTAATCTTTGATCCGAGTAATTAATTTTAATTACTAGGAAATTATATTATAATAACAAATTTGAAATTTGTTCAACGGTGTCTATCAAATTTAGAAGAACATAATATGTAATATAAAAAAATAGGTTCCAGCAAACAATTACACTTCTGGCGTTAATTTGGCAGCACAAAATTGGAAATTGGCCCACCAGTGAAAATAATGTCCAACGATATTTGAAGGTTGTAAAACAATTAAGCAACAAATTTGTTTAATAGGTAGGATTGATGTCTACTAATGTTGTGCTACGAAATTCACACGTGTATCTAAATCGTACTATGAAGTTAATAGGATCTTAATAAAATTATTCCTGAAATAATTCCCTGAAATGGAATTATTTAATTTTTTTTCAGAAACTGTTTGGTTACAAATTGATTGATGTCGGTTACAATCAGTTACTAAAAGGTTACTAAATTTTGGAATTGGTCCGGAGTCGATAGGATAAAGTGGGGGGCCAATTTCACAGACGTTAACTTTTACGCAACTTGAAATTAATTCTGTAGTAATTTTTTGATAATTTTTCCGAGCTCCATTTTGAATATTTTTTTTTTAAATTTGCGATGACTTATTATCGCGTTCTGGATTTAAACTGAATCACTCCCTGTGTGATGTATATCCTGAGCCTTTCAAATTCCGCAACAGTGATGATGGCCTACCGTGAGCTTTTTTTCCCCCGTAGGTACATTTTCGTATTATATTTTATGGCGTTTCCGAAATATCGCGAACGTAATCGCATTTTTTAGGATTCGTTTGTTTTGTGTTCGGTTATCTCGTCCCGCTGATGCCGACAACGACGGGTCATGACGATCGCATATTATTTTTCATAAGCCAAAACAAACGTCTCGTAAGTGCTGACAATAAAAACTTATTTCCTCTCGCATTGTCTGCGGCGTATATATACGATAAAAGTAAAGTTTCTTTTGACGGTTTTTTTTTTTTCGTAACTCAGCTAAAAAATATCCACCCCTTCGATAAGAAATAATAATAATAATAAAAACATCGAAACTCGCAAAACAGTTTTGTTGTAGTTGTTTCGATTTTTTATCGTATCTACCGTTTTTATTTTTTCTAAAAAACTATAGTAGGTATACAAATAATACCGTATACGCATTTTATATTTGTTCTTCCAAATCATCTTTGAAGCTCATCAAACACCGATCTGCGACCGTAATTGTATACGTTTATATAATATAAGCTGTTATAAGTCGGCATTTTAGTCATCGTACTGATAATATTATAACACGAAAATCAAAGTTATTATTATCGCAAGGCGTACGCACATGTAAACTGCTCATATGTTTAATGAATGGTCTACACAAATGGAAAATAAAGAGCTCACCTCGATATGACTGCTGGCAGATACAGACCATCAGGCGCAATGTGAAGGAATGTCCTCAAACAAGGTACACATTTATTACTCTTCCCTACGATTCCGTAATGATTAAAAAAAATCAGAAATCAAATTTACTTAAAATCGTTTGAGATAATTGCTGGTTCATAGAAAAAAAAAAAAAAATACGCTGTATAATGTCTTATTTTATTATTGTTACCATTAATCATATTAGTGTATTGTAAATTTTTTATATTGCTTTACCCACCTACCTTAGTTTTTAGCAAATTATTTATGTATTGTTAATTTAATTTAATGTTTAAAAGGCATTTTTTTTCACCAATATATATACGCCATATGAAAAAAAAAAAAACGTAAATTACATGTAATAAAATTATTCTTATAAGTACATAAAGCTTTTCCTAGAATATTTAGGTTCATTTCTGTGACAACGCGACGCTGTCCCTGTCTCGCCCTGTCCTCAGCTTCATCTTCATCGTCCGCCACGTCCGTGGCAATCTCAAATCTTTCCTTTTACTCCGCCTTCAGACGATCATTTTTTAGAACGTCCTCTTGACCGGTTGATATTGGCGGGTCTGTCTCGTTAATTTTAAAGACTAAAATATTTCCAATCTCCGCACGTGTCTGGTCCACCTCTGCATCAATTGTTTTTTAGAACATTTATCGTTACCATTTCTACTTTTTCATTTTATTTTTATTTTTTTTTCACTTCCTTGTATGGTCCTCTTATCTTCCAATCTCCATTGTCATCGCATTTTCGGTTTACGGATTTTTCTTTTCGATGTCATTGACCTTCTTTCAGACTGCAGAAGTTTTGATTAAAAAAAAAATGGCGACAACCCAAAGTACCAAACGTTTAGACGAGTACCTATCTATAGACCAATATTTCTAAATGGAGTACACGAAGAAGAACAAATAGGGAAGGTCGACCAATCAACCACAAATCCAGTATATGTGATTACCTTGCCTACAGATCGAACGACCTTTTGAAGAAAGCCTTGGTCGGGAAGTTAACTGGGGAAAACACCAAGGCCGTCCAAGATAGCGTCGGGTGGACAGAGTAATAATGATGAATCGATCCAACGTATCCAGGATAAGTAACGATAGCGTAGACAAAGACAGATAGAGCCACGGGGGAACGTAGTTGAGGCATCGAGGGTCCTATAAGAACTGTAAAATCTTAAACAGAGGAAGAATTATTAATAATTCACGCGCTATCGTACTTTACTGTATACTTTTCAGACTTCTTTTGGATTAATATTTCATAAACAATAAATCATAAAAAAATACGATTTATATTGAAAATTGCCATGAGTCTCTTATAACAGTTACTCGTATTTTGTTATATTTACATTATTGAACCGAATACGCACACGACGTTTTTGGATTTTGATTCGAGTAAAAACCATTTTTTTTTTTTTCAATTGAGTAATTTAAAAGTTGAAAATAAAAAAAAATCGCAATATTCTGAATACTAAACAATAATAAATCATATTTTACTGCGACAAAAGTACAAATACTTGTAACAATATATTATATTATGCACTCGTTGTTTCGTTACCTACTATAAAAGTTTAAAGCTATGACATGCAATTGTTTGTCAGGGGGGGGGAAGTGTGTGTGTACGTTTGAATTCATTCTTATGATGGAAACCTAAGAGAGAAAAAAAAACGCAAGTTTTTTAACAACGGAGAATTAAAACTATTTCGCTAATTATACGTACGGAACAAATTTTCTTTTTATGTAATAATATAATTGCAACCGAAACGGTAAAACGATAACCATCGGGTGGAAATGAAGGCACTAATATTACTTATTAGGTACTACTATATTATAATACGGTATTTGGGTGCTTACGAAATTTACTTTATTTTTTTAAAACAGTGCGTTATTTTTCTGTAGTTCTTTTTTTTTGTCGTGCATTTTAAATGCAAATTTTCTCTTCGTTTATAAATACAATATTCCGACAATGCGTGCATTATATTATTATTATTATATGTCCAATAAAATTAATATTTATGACGTTGACTTGTGCGTTTAAACATTTTTTTTTTTTTTTTTTTCGAGAAACACGATTATTGTATAATATAGTATGCGCTCCGAGAAAAATAAAAAATACGAATACCCCCACCCTTCTGTATTATAATAGGTACTGCACGTTTACATTTTTATGACTTTTGGATTTTAACGAATTACGTAAACGGAAAATATACGAATTCCCTCTCGGAGCGATAATAATTCGTCTCCCGCCGCACCCATTGGCGGCCTACAAATCCGGTTGATAAAAATCTGCACCAGTAACCTTGCTGCACCGACACGAGGCTATACTCGAAATATAATAATAATATATAGAAGTCAAATGCACACGTAACGCGATTTTATTATTATCCGGGCTCGTAAGTACATGCGTTTGCATTGTTTTTTCATTATAGAAAAACATGCTAAGCAAGGTACAAATCCGTTTCACAACTGCAATACTAATGAAAACACCCGTTTGAATAGTGCATGTTTTTGCTTATTTTATGTATTTCGGATTGTCCGGCATGCACCTAACAGACTTTTTGGGATTATTAACGCATATTCCGTATAAACCTAGGAGATTACTATTATTATAATAGTAATATATATATTTATTTGTATGAGCGTACAAACAAAAATTGAAACCAATTTAATTTGTTTAAATATGAAATTGACTCAAGTTAAAGTTAATTCTTTAGTATTTCTCGAGTCAACAATCAGGTCAATAGATAAAAAAAAATTGATTTATTAAGTTAAAAAGTTAAATTACTTAACTTTAACTTATTAACTCGTTAATTCTGAGTCTTGGACCAATAGCCGTGGATAACTTGGATAAGCAGTATAAACGTGCGTACAAATAAAGATTGGAAAAGACGAGGACGATTTGAAGACTAGTAAAATAATTATAATTTATAATAAGTAAAATTAATTTTTCGATAAAATGATTTTTTTAAATCGAAAAACGATTTGTTTTTTCGCATGGTTTTAGAAATTTAGCGCGTATAAATCGCACATTTCGCGTGGTTTTTTATGCGTTTTAGTACGTACATTTACGAACCGCGGTTATTATTGTACGGCCATTGTATAATAATGTACTCGTATACATCGCAAAGATTCTCGGTTTTGAAAGGCGCAAGGTTTTCGCGTTTTCGTAAACTCCCGCGCCGTCGGCCGGGCCCCGCGCGCACCGCAGCACCACCGCCGCCGCCTCGCGGTTTTGCGCCTATAAAAAACAGCAATCAAATTCCTTTCAACTATATTGACGTCTGAAACTTTAATCCCCTAGCTGTTGCGTGGCGCGGAGGCGTCTGCGGTCACGGGGGACGATATAAAAATACATTCGTTGGCTTTTATCTCGTTTCGCGTATAATATTTCAGCGAACGCGCGACCGTATTTAATTACTTAAAGCCAAAGGCCCGAGGCCGCGTCCGCGCGTTATGAACCTAAACACTTTTTAATGAGGTTTGAAAACCGAGTATTAAAACGTTACGAAAAATACAGTGTATTATACAAACATTAGACACCCACCTACCTATATCATATAATATGGATCTACCTGCGACGACCCGACGAACTTTTATAAAGTCAGAGCCGTGTAAGTCCGTATTTGCATGCGTCAACATTGCGTTCAAATATGTTACGGTTAATGTGGTAAAATTCGGTCGTTGTTGTATGCGTATACTTTTTGTATCTCTACGCAAAAACCGATTTTTTTGCCGTTATAGTTTGCGGCGTACGATAGTCTATTGTTGAACTTAAAGGTAAAACGAATGTCTGTTTTTGTACGTTTGATTTTTTTTTTCTCGATATTATTTTAATTACCTACCGAGCGAGTTACGAAAATAAAAAGTTGTGAAATATCTAAAAATCTCGCTTAAAAAACTAAAAAAAACTAGAAAAAAAAATGAACTTTTAAACGCAGATAATGTTCTTATCCCTTTAAGTTTGATAATACGCTCTAATTTTAAAATCAGCGCGCAATCGGTTAAAATATAAAATACGTGACGATGTTAATGGTAACAGTATAATATTTAATCTATACTAACTTCCGATTTATTTCTAGTCCCCCCCCTCCCCCGTTATCCAGAGGTAAAATTATTTGATAGTAAAAATGATCGATGAGGAGAAGTTTGAAAGATTTTTATAATAGAAATTTCAGTTTCCATTCACATGTTTCATCATACTTTGCTTATAATCGTATTTCGTTAGCAATGATTAATTATCGCGTACAGATATAAAAATAAATAAATAAAATAGTTTTATGTAACTTACTTTCCCAACATTTCACAAATAACCATGGCACATTTGCCAGCAATGTCAGCTCTTTTTTGTTATTATAAATTATTGTTTTTATAATTTGAATACATTAACTGTATGGCATTTTTTTAAATTGTAGAATTCACAGACAAGTTTTGCATTTTTAAAAATATTTTTATTCCTAATATTTTAGCGGAAAGAATATCTTTGTTGTTAACAAGTTCGTGATTTATTTATTTTGTTTCTTTTTTTTTTTTTTTTTGCTAACTCGATTTAAATATTTACTTAATTTACATAACAAACACATTTTATTATCAACATTTCTAGTCTAATTTTCAAATGACTATCATACTCCTTTTTCAAAATATATAGCAAAAGAAAATATTTTTGAAAAAGGATGGATATCAAAAAACGTTTTTGACGTACGAAATAACGTTTGAAAATATCACAAATAAGGTCATCAAAGGATATTGCCTGAGAATACCAAAATGAATAATACTTTATTCGAAATCTTCATGGATAATCGCTAGATCACGATAAAAATATAAAATATTCACCCTGCACATAAGCGTATAAGATCGACGTTAAGTATAAACTAATAAATGTTTTAACATTTTTAGAATCATAATATAAATAAGTAACATACAGTATTATCAAATTGCTTTCGGGCTTTCGAACCGTATCAATTATGAACGGCACGTGCGCTATTAAATCGTCTATCTTAAAATTCAATAATTTACAAGTTTTCTAGTAGTATTCGATTTATTATTTATATTATATACTCGCTCTGTGCAACTATAATAATATATAATATGTACGTATTATACGTATTATAGTTAGGTACCTAACCTAACCTAACCTACCTCTGCTGCAAGACGTGATTTTAATACATTTATACTTTTTAATATTTTATGCAGCGTTCGCTAAAATATAGTAGGTAATAGGTACCTACGGTTCTACGTCAATCCAAAGTACCCGTATAAAACGTAAACGCAAACGCAAACGCAAAAAATACTTATTCACCAACGATCGTTGTGAATATTCTATTTATGCACTCGTACATTAAACTCCCATCTGAACGCTACATGGTTTTTTGAAATTCGTGCTAGGTACAACTAATATGAAATTACGTGCCGTATTTGTATAAATAATGTATAAAATAGTATAAAATCTATTCAATTTTAGTGGATATACAGAAAGAACGGGTTTGTAAAAAGAGTAAAGCATAACAAAATAGACACTATAGCCTACGACCAGGGAGTTTTCGATACGCACTAACCCCTCGAATATGTTTTCACGTCACTGTTTTATCGTATACTTCTCCACTTTCTGTCGGTTAACATTAACGTTGCCGATAGTAGAGCTACAACACAGTCCGTGTGTGAAAAGTGCAGTGATGCATCTACGGTTTGAACCTCCTTCCCGCCCACGACACGAATTAATTATGAACAAAATTAACAATTACAATTTAAAATTGTTGTCAGTAAATAACATGATTTACGAATGAGACCGTTTCCCACATAAAATAATGGCCCATACGAAAACGATGCGCACAATGAACGAAAACGTGTCACACTGTGGCCTTATACCTATTTTTTTTTGTCATTAGGTAAAGTACATAAGATATATATACGTGATACACAGTTACATATGTAAAAAAAAGCGGTGATATGCCTTTGAACGTTTGTAACTGACGCACTATTGTGTTTTTAAAAATGTATCGTAATATTTTAATTTTAATTATTTCATGTGGTATAGTGGCGTATACACAATGCTTTTCAATATAGGGAGTGCGGATTGAAGAGACGACGCATAGTGGAGGCGCGGTAGCCTACCTCCCGCAAGATTCACGCCATTCTCTTGCCGTTCCTCCGGTCATTTTGGCGGTATTTATTTTTTTTCTTGCAGCAGCAGCCACAGTAGTAACAACAGTTATTAAGTTGTCAACATTTTGAAACCGAAATCAAAAATACAATAAAACTGGATAAAATCGTAACTCATCGTGCCCGGTGCTGGTTTTCCGAATTTTCTCCGATTTCGTAAAGTTTGAAAATTATTATTAATGTTTTAATAGCCGCCTTACAGATACGACGAGGGATACCCATTTAAGGACTAACATTTTTCTTTTCTTATTGATAAACGACATTGTACAGACCGCATTTTATCCCGATTTCAAATAATAGTATAAAGAAAGTGAGAAATCGATCCCTCTCAAAGACGTATTTTATAAAGTTCGAGATGACAATATTGAAAAACGGAGTTCAACGCGGTCCGCAATAAGAACACGGCTCCTATTTCCGTCAAAAAAATAATCATCGAAATCGGACCACTGTTGCGAGACGCGAGAATTTTGCCCGTATGAAAAAACGGGCCGGCCCCGGGCCCCTGAATTAAATTTAACATTGAATTGAGTGTGATAATTGAATTACGATTGAAAACAAATACAAAAAGGCCTTTGCCGGACGGGATCTATAACTCCCGTATTATCTGCCCCCCCCCTCAGACGTGTCCCGTACGCGATCGTATTACCGCCGATTTCCGTACGGTTTTCAAGTGCGTCGTGACACAGGCGCTTTAACTAAAAAAAAACGGTTCAAGAAATATCGCCAAATGTATACCGCAACACTGTACGTATAATATTTTAATCGGTGTCGAAATAACTTTGAAACGAGACATGAAAATCTACATAAACAAACTAGAATATTGTGTACAGAGGTAGAAAAAAACAAACACTTATACGTTTTTGCTTCATTTATTTATTGAGCGTGTTAAGATTCAGTAGACTATATAATATATATATATATATTTGTATGTATATATATATATATATATATATATATATATATGTATATATTTATATATATTTATATATATATCATAATAATTTTTTTATACACTTCAATTGAGTATCTTTTTTTTTTTTTCGCCTCTCATTTAATTATATATTTATTGTACATAACTTAATCGACGTATACATAAAGAAAAAAAGAAATAATAATATATTTGTGTATAAACGGAAGCTTAACGAAAAGAAAAAAACAAAAAAAAACCGAAAAACATAATAATAACCGTATTAATATAATAATCATAATGATATCATCAGTAATAATATAACACAATACATAAACTCTAATAATAATAATAATAATAATAATTTTATATAATAAAAATAATAAACAATAAGGGGGGGGGGGGGAAACAGATAACGTAATAATAACGCGGATGCTCGTATAATATATAGACGACAATACCGGACACGCTGTAAAAAAAAAAAAAAAAACCACCTGGCGCCAACGATCTCAACGGTGAACGAATTCCCCGTCATTCGCCCTGCGGTGATCGCTACGATTCGAATCGAAGTCCGGCCATTCGTTTGCGAAAAGGGCAAAATACGATGCAATATTAATCCATGCAATTTTAGACTGTTGCACGGAATACAATATCGATTGAAACAGCAACGATTTCCGATTGCGTATCGTTAAATTAAAAATTCGTTTTTTTGTTCGGTTCGTCATATTATAACCCACGAATAAACATTTCACGGATTAATCGATCGTCTTTTGTCCTTTTCGCGTATGGCTATCAAACTTCATAGGTCCTGTGACACTTTCACACGGAGTCTGGCTGTCTAATCGTTTTATATATCTGTCGGTTTGTTTACATTTCTATCGTATTATCCACAGGTATGAGCCGACACGTCCCGATCAATGTTATTGTTGTTGTTTTTTTTTTTTTTTTTTTAATCGACTACGGCGATTACTCGTTAAAACTAGCGGTTACCGAACTTAAAAAAAAACGTATGCCTCTTTTAACGTTCTCAACAGGCGAGACGATACGGTTTTTAGTTTTTTTTTTTTTTTTTTTCGGGCGAGTAGAGGGGGGGAGGTCGTTTTAAGGTTCGCCAGTTATCAACGCGTATACTAAGTGTCCGGTACGATTGTCCTGTATATTGTACAGTATCTCGAATATAATGAGTACAACACTGGTACGATAATTTTGTTACAATAATATTGACGGCGCATTGAGATTACAAATATTATAATAAACACATAATGTTATAATAATAATAATATAATATCGGACTCTCGGGATGGCCGTATAATATAATTATATAGACTACAAAAACTTAAAATAATATAGAATAACAGTTTTGTAATAATCAATAATACCAATCCTAACGAGATTTTAGAATATATACGACGGTAGTTTCACGTTTTTTATAAATTTTTTTTTATATATATATATATATATATATATATATACGTGTATATATATATATATATATATGTTTATATGTGTATATATATATATATATATATATATATTTTACATTTTTTTTTTTTTTTTTCATAATAATTATTTATTTTATATTTTATTTTTTAACGCACTACCGTTTTACATTTCATTATTAATATTAAATACAAATACATAATATATCGCGTACAATAAATATATTATATTATTATTATATATACGTATTATTTATCATAATATACTATATAATAAGGAAGTCGAATTATATAATATAATAATATTGTAATATTATATTATATAATATAGATAATAACAGTGCGAACCACAATCTGAAAGTGCTTTTTAAAAATATCCGTTAAATTATATAATAATAATAATATAATATAATCTAATAAAAAAAAAAAAAAAAAAAAAAAAAAAATAATAAAATAAAAAACATTTGTGTATTATACATATATAGGTCAGGGAAAACAAATTGTCGGTTCGCGTCACCCGGACAAACAGCAGCGCGGCGTAGCCGTTCGATATAATGGCCCGGGCGTTGCGAAACCCCGACAAGGACCCCGCCGCCGCCGAAACGGACGATTTTACCTATAAAGTATTCGCTTGTTTAAGAAAAAAAAAAAAAAAAAAAAAAAACGCCAACAAAAATAATAACACACCGCAGTCGTACAGGCGCGTCGAGGGAATGAGCTTTACGCGGGAGTATACCTGCAGTGTATCCATAATCATTAGGTACGTATGTCCGAGGCCGGAAATGCATATGAAAGTCGTGCCGAGAGAATTGATTTTTTTGAAAAATATACGCGCAAAGGTTCGGGTGCGGCGGTTTTTAATTTTTTTTTTTTGTTATTTAGATCCGCTGATTTTAATAATATTATAACCGACCGACTCTCGTCGAAATCTGCAAGTGGCGTACTCGGGATTGTTCGAAATCGCGACGTGGTATACCCGCGAACTGAAAATCGACGAGATCGATCGGACCGAAACTCGAAAATCGAACCGATTCGAACGGTACATGAAATATTTTGATTTTGGTTCTTCTTCTTTTTCCTCTTCCGGATTTCCGCCTCAAAATTATGCAGCCGTTTCTGAATAACGCGCAACGTTTTTACGTGCGTGACGTTTTGGGCTTTTGTTTTCCCGAGTTCTTTTCGGGATTCGCAATACGCACGGTTCCAAAACCACATCACACTAAGCCCCCTCCCCGTAAATGCGCCATTGATCGTGTAGTAGAAGAGCAAGGGTGGGCGAGGCGTTTATTTTTCGACTTCTCGGACAACGTCGATTACGGGCGAAATCGTATCGCTTACGGGGTCCTCGTCCGTTTACACCGCTTTTTAAACCGACCTCTATAACGTATACACACAATGTTATACAATAATAATATATTATTTTGAACACCCTTTTGAAGTTTTCACCCGATATTTTTAATACTGTATATAATATTGTAAAATGCGTGCGGTATTCGGCCGAGCCTTTCAGACACATGCTGAGATCGTAGGTATAATAATAATAATAATAATAAGGGTACCAGAGACCGAAATCACAATACCAAAAAAAAAAAAAAAATGATCGTAGCCTCTCCCGAATAATAATTACGGTCGAACGGGGCCCGAAAGAGACGAACAATATTCGAAAAAGTTTATCGCCACGTTATTATTATTGTTCTTTTTTTTTTTTTTTCGAATCGATATCTATTATTGTCCCCTCCCGGCCCACCCCACTCCTACCGTAGAACTTTACACGCGTTTTTCGCGCCGTTTCGAAACCGAAAACCGCATGATAACAAAATATTACGATACCTACTATACTGCAGTACACGCGATTCGAATTTCTCGCAATCGAGTACCGCGATGGTATTCGTCCGATATTATAATAATATAGTAGTGCATAGCATATCATTTTTTTTTTCCTTTCACGAAGTGCTCGGAGAAAGAAGGACGGAGACCGTTTTTTTTTTTATTTTTCATTTTCGAGATTACGGTACGCGTTTAACACGCGTTCTGTTCGCCGAAAAAGACGTTTCATTCGGTTTACTGTCGACGGTAAAAAAATACAACAGCCACAACCGGACTTACGGTAATCGTCTTCTTCCCGCGCGCCCCTCCGAATACGATCTTATCATAACATTATGATTGTTCGAGATTATGCGTGCACGCACCGCTATAAAATTGTGCGCTCCGCTGTAGTGTAGTACAGTTCATCTTGCGTTTAAGTCCGCAAAAACCGGGATCGCGTGTACTATAATAATATTATTATTGTTGGTTGTTTTTTTTTTTTTTTCATTTTTTTTTTTTTTTTTTTTTTT